TTTGGTACACACAACGTACATTTATATCCTTAGTGGTTATTGAGAAGTATATTTAAATTACATTTCAGTGCCTGGAGTTCAGCTTTAACCACTTACTGACCATATCACTTACATGTGCTGTGGAAAGGCAGCTTTCCTGCGCTGGATCACGTACCTAGTACGCAAGTGCCACCCCGGCTGAGCTGTGATTAGACACAGCACAAGCAGATCAGAGGGTCCCACCCAATGATTGACAGCCGGGACCCAGTGATCAGCAAAGAGGCTGACAGGACAGAGTTCTGTGTATGTAAACAATACAGAGCTCTGCCCTGTCAGTGGGGATGTGCTGATTTTTGTTACCCTGCAAAACCAGCACATCCCTTAGTAAAAAGTACACACACAAGCACTGTTAGGCACACACTTAACCCTTTGATCACCCCTAGGTGTTAACCCCTTCCCAACCAGTGTCATTAGTACAGTGTCAGTGTATATTATTAGCACTGATCACTGTATTAGTGTCACTGCTTTCCACAAAGTGTCAGTTAGTGTCAGTTGACTGCTGTACTATTACAGTCCCACTACAAGTTGCTGATCGCCGCCAAACTAGTATAAAGAAAATAAAAATAAATAAATAAAAATTCCAGCATATATCCCATAGTTTGTAGACGCTATAACTTTTGCGCAAACCAATCAATACACACTTATTGGGATTTTTTTTACCAAAAATATATGGCAGAATACATTTTGACCTAAATTTACAAAGAAGTTTGATTTTTTTAAATTTTTTTATTGGATATTTTGTACAGCAGAAAGTAAAAAAAAAAACAATTTCTCAAAATTGTCAGTCTTTTTTCCTTTACAGCGCAAAAAAATACCATAAAATATCATCAAAAGAAAGTTCTATATATGTGAACAAAATTCTATAAATTTAATGTGGGTTCAGTGTTGCATGACCACGCAATTGTCAGTTAAAGTAACGCAGTATCAAAAAATAGCCTGATCAGGATGGGGGTAAAATTTTCCGAAGAGCAAGTGGTTAATTCCATTTCTCTATAGATAGGGTCAGGCAGATTTTCCAGCATGTTGGAAGATCTCTGCATTGCACAGTAACATTCAGATATGCTTGTTATCACTGCACTCTTGGCTTGATTTCACACCAAATTACACTGTGGAGATGCTGCAAATAAGTGGATTTACTCCACTGTGTATCTAGACAGAAGAGCAATGCTATTCTCGGTTTACAGAAGAGAAGCTTCCCTGATATTGTGCCAAAGATAAGGAGACAGATAGGGAATCTGTGGCTGAGAAAGTCCTCCACCTGCGGCTGGTATGTTGTCAGTGTCCTTGTAGAAGGATTGATTTATAACCAACTAATGCATTGCTACATTTGCTCTGGGTTAATGTTCATCTAAACGAGATACAGCAGTAGGAGATATTTTCAAACACCATTTCATAGGAGACCACAATCCTACACAGACCTTCAGAATGTGCTACACAGGGCGCTCAATACAACCAGCCAGGGAAAGGACACAACACAGCAGTCAGTGTAGGCTTGTAGGTCCCTACTGAGCAGTCCATGGCAATTGTTTATTCCATGCAATTTAAATGAGGCTTGTACTGCTGAATGGCTTTTGGCCTTGCTTGCAAAGTCTACTTGTTTTAGTTAGGCTACATGCATATGGGCGTATGAATCTATGCACCGAATACGCTGCCAGAAGTTGGCAAAAAAAAAAAAAAAACGCCTCTAAAGTCACGTAGGCACATTTATCTGTTTTTGTTTGCATGCTTATATGTATTTACAGGTGTATGGCATTTAGAAGCATACGAGAGTACACTTATTGTTCTGGCTAACATATTCATTTATTCTAAACACTAGATTAAATTTACATCCATATGCACACATTTATGCATGTTTAGACATGCATACGCTGGTACAGTACACTCCTAAGCTCCTCTTCAAATGCAACTTAACTGCCTCTAAGGCCTCTGTACTGCATAACACAAAATCCAAAAATCTGAGGACATGCATATACACATATGCTAGATGCAGGTATTGGGAAAAAAGGGACAATTTTATGTAAGTATTTACTGATCATATTCAGGAACTTGTGTAGTAGAAAATAACATGCATAATAAAATCAGTATATTTTTTATGGTGGGTTGAATGAAGCCTAAATATTCACTTGTGCATTCAAGAGAGGAGCTATTGAGCATAGAAAATGCTCAAAAGTACCTTAACACGCATTAAAGCCCATTAACGCTTGTGAATGCTAGGCACGTTCCCACGTTAATGCACTCTAAAGGCCAGAATTCTGGTCAATAGATTGTATTCAAGCCAGATGCGGGATCTTGCATTAAAGTGTGTGAACCCGCATTAACACGCATGCTAAATGCGTCCGTTTACCGCAGGTTTTCTGCTGGTAAACTCCTGTAGGAGAAAAAAAGTGTTATTGGCATACAGTGTGCATAAAGCCTTACAGATCTAAACACCTAATGTGCGTGGTCACAGAGACTAATGCCTAGTACACACGATCAGAATATCGGATGAATGATTGGTTTTTTTGCATGCTAGTCTCATATTGAAAATTAATGTTACTACAGTTATGAAAATTCTCGTAAAACAGAATACAACATCGTAAGTGATGTAATGTGTTATATTGTAATATATTCTTTAATTTCAAATTTTCCGAGCATGTGCAGTTTTGGTCACTCGATTTGTTCCAGACAAATACTTGGTTCTGGCCAGCTCAGTGGATTGCGTTTAAAAAGGCCTGGATTCTTTCTTAGATACACAGAATATAACTGGACACTAACATTTATAGGTAAAGTTGATCCAGGGAATATCCGATTGCCTCTTGAGGTATCAGGAAGGAATTGTTTTCCCTGCAGGAGCAAATTGGATCATGCTTTGCTGGGTTTTTTTGCCTTCCTCTGGATCAACTGTGGGTATAGGAACATAACTTTTTTTTTTATGGTTGAACTGGATGGACTTTTGTCTTTTTTCAGCCAGACCAACTATGTAACTATGTAAATACTATACTGATTAAATGAAAGTCATTAGTTCTGATATCATAAGTAACATTTCCGTTCTTGTCCCTTCGGATAATTTTGCATGAACTGTCATGAAATCTGTGTACTAGCGATCAGATTATTGGACAATCGGTCCAAAAGCAGTATTTTTCGTCCGATTTTCTCATTGTGTGTAAGAGGCATAACCAGGGGCGGACTGACCATTTGGAAACTCAGGCACTGTCCAAGGGTCCGGGGGCAGTAGGGGACCCCATGAGATGCCCCTGGTACCTTTTTCATAGGCTTTTTTGAGTTTGGGCAAGGACACAGGGGCCCCATGATCCCCTATTGCCTGGGGGCCCCATGAGTTGTCAGTTCGACCCTGGGCATAACATTGATTTGAGTTTAAAGGCATAAAAAAATGCTAGATGCCTGGTAGGTACCGTACTTTAGAACTTTACTAACTGTGTATTTCAATATATGAAATACATATTTTGAATCCAAATATCAGCTACTTTATATATATAATAGGGTGATATGCTTGTGGCAACCAACTAGATTCCAGTTTTATTTTTTGGTGTAGGTCCCAAAATAAAAGCTAACACAAAACAACCTCCAGCTCTTCGACTGACATGTCATGCTGGATCTTAGAATCCTTCCAGGAGTAGAGAGCCAGAAGTGCAATTTGTATTCAGAGAGCCTAATATAGTGTATGAGAGGTATTGCGGTAGTTATTGCCAAGTGAGTTTTTTGCACTATTAGAGCAATTAATCAATGGAGGGACACGTCTGAAATGTTCTCTTTGACCACGGCTGCCGCTTTGAATATAGCTATCGAGTGAATTTGAATTATCTCTTGCTAAAATAGAATCCGCCATTTCATCCCAATAGTTGATGTTCACACTTGAGAATGATTTACTGTAGGCAGCTTGTGTAGCACATTTTTGCAATGTGCATGTGCTTATTGAGACTCTGCTTATAAATCATTACATAACTAAATTGAAATTACCATTTGTAAAACAAAGATAATTTACTGCCCATAATAATTCAGAGCTGTGTTCTTCATTAGCATGCACAGCGTGTCCTATTTAATATTAGCATTTATGCCAGATATCATTTTTCACTCATTCCATCTTAGTGACCCCATAAGCATTACAGCCATGCCTGGACCTACACTGGAGCCAAACCAAAAGGCACCAAGGAAAGTGAAGGTGTTTCCCACAACAAGCAATAAGAATTTAGATTATATGATTCTATGAAAAGTTAGAAGAGGGAAATATTTGGTTGTAGCAAGCAACACCTCTGTTTTCATGAATAAACCCCTTCAAAGGGTCAGTGCTGCTAATACTGATTGCTTGTGAACGAAAGCTAGTGAAATGAACCCTACTGCCTTCCTATATCCTAAAGGGACTATGGTGAGATATCTCTGCTGTAAACAACAGCTCTGCCCTCTCCTCCAACCATCCTCAAGTCTCACTCCTACTGCTGTAGCAAAAATCTAAATCTTCTTAAAGTGGTATTAAACTCAAAATCAAAAAATGAATTTATTGGAGCTTACTAATCCTTAGGTGTGGTGGCTGCATTAGTTTTCTTCTTTTAGACTTTTTTCCCTCTGTTTTCACATTGTCAGTCGGGAGGGGAGTGTTAGATGTACTAGCAGATTTAGAAGCTCAAGCTAATACTTTATAAGCAGTTACAGTGTTTTCCTTTTAGCATAAAGGTTTTCCATAAATAAAATAAAAGCTGATCACAGTAAGCATCCCTGTCAGAGTTAAATGGTTTGTCTAATCCCTGTAACTGAGACATTTGCAAGACAGCTTGTTCTTTTAACCAGTTCTGTGCCTCCCTATAGCAGAAATACTGCTACAGGGTGGAATGGATGTGCAAAATCACGTATATATACGTGATTTTGCAGTTCCGGGTATGGGAGCGCACACACCGTGCACACACCGTACCCAAGCTGCCATTCATGGCCTCGACTGTCAATCAGTGGATCCCAGCCAGTGTTTATTCGCTGGCACCCGGTGATTGCCGAGTATCTCCCTGTCAAGCTCCTGCACACTGCTTTGTATGGCTCTGCATAGCAGAGCCATACAAGGCAGTGTGCTTACAGTGAAGCACACATACAGCCCCATAATGAAACACACAGAGCACACAGTTGACCCTTTGATCACCCCAGATGTTAACCCCTTCATGCCCAGTGCCATTAGTACAGTGTCAGTGCTTTTTATTAGCACGGATCACTATATTGGTGTCACTGGGGATGTCAGTGACACCAAGTCAGTTCCCCCCAGTGTCAGAATGCCCGCCACAGTCCTGCAGTCCTGCTATAAGTTGCTGATCGCCGCCATTGCTGATCGCCGCCATTACTAGATGCCAGTATATATACCGCCATTTTGTAGACACTATAACTTTCACATAAACCAATTAATTTACACGTATTGGGGGTTTTTTTTTAGCAAAGACATGTCGCAGAATACGTTTTGCCCTAAATTTATGATGAAATTTGAATTTTTTAATTTTTTCTTACTGAACATGTTTAATAGCAAAAAGTAAAAAAAAGTTTTCTCAAAATTGTCTGTAATTTTTTATTTATAGCACAAAAAATAAAAACTGCACAGGCAATCAAATACCACTGAAAAAAACTTTATTTGTGGGGGAAAATGGACATAAATTTCATTTGGGTGCAGCATTGCATGACTGTGCAATTGTCAGTTAAAGTAACGCATCGCTGTATCGCACAAAATGGCCTGGTCAGGAAGGGGGGTAAATCCTCTGGAAGGCAAGTGGTTAAAAACAACAGACTTATTGGCCAGGTGAAAAAAAGTAAAAAGAAAACTAATGCAGCCACCACATCTAAAAATTGGTAAGCAGCAATGTAATACATTGTTGCTTTTGGGTTTATTACCACTGTAAGGGTCAGTGGTGCTAATATCTTCTTAATGTAACAACAATGAATAACTCCTTGGGGAGAGTGAAGTCTCTCTAGCAATGGCCATAGCAGTGGGTCATGCTGTGATTTCTGCTGTCTAGATCTCTCTGGCAGAGTATGTGAGAGATAAATGTGAAGCTGCTCGATGATTTAACCCACTGGCATCTATCCCAATCTGAAATATCAATTCTGAGTAGTTTGACCCTTTAGGGCTGATTTATAAATCCTGAGGCATAGAAGAATATGGCTGTCACTTATATCAACCAGTCATATATTTTTATTTTCCAACCTACCCCAGAACATGGCAGCTGAAATCTGACTGGTCACTATAGGTGACAATTCATGGTATTTGCGTCAGCTTTAATAAATAGGCCTTTTCAGTGCTGCATTGTGTGTTTCCAAGTGCAATGATGTCATACCTCTGCCTTCACATATATTTCTATCTAAAAAAAAACCCCAACAGATCAGGCATTTCTTCTTATCATCATTGTCTTCCTCTCATCACCTTCCACTAAGTACAAATGCATGTCTTTATTTTTTTTTTTAGTTTGTTATCACTGCACCTTTCTAGATGTATGGATTATTGTTTGTAATGATTATTTTTTGATAACTAAATTGAAATGAACTGATTTGTTGTAATGAGGTGGAGTCTACTATCATTGAAATTATTTAATGTCTTTACTAAACTAGCTTTGGTACCAGCCGATCCGGTATTTCAGCACTCTGGACAGTTGCCTGCAGACTCCCTGGTTAAAATCGGCTATCCATCACAAAGCACCCAGTCTAATCACTTGTGTGAGTATACATACTACATTTCTTCAGGAGAAAACCTGTCTTTCTTTTGATTTACTTTTCTTTCTCCACAACGGAAAGGAACTTCATAATATTATGTTACATAATAACAGTCCCTCGGGTCTTTACACTTTCAGAAGATAATTGTTTCCAGCCAAAGCATTATTGTGCTTGTTGCAAAGACCTATATGAACCACCTATACTCCATATCAATGCATATATATAAGTTAAAAAAAACAATAAGTTTTATACATTTGTTACTATATTAATGTTCCCATGTGTTTAACTGAGACTTACTCACCCAGTTCAGCTCAACCTGTAACAGAATTGGCCATCCATATTGATGCTACCTGCATCCAAATTCCAGACTCTTCCTGGGACAATAGCAAAATGTTCTCAATGAAAACAAATGAAAGCACCGCTCAATGCTCCTGTGTATATCCCCAGCTGGTTCAGAAACTGCCTTTGGGTGCTGGTCTCTCAATAAGAGCCCATCTAGCTTGCCCATGTAACCACAAATCCCCCATAGGACCACACATGATCAATGTAAACAACTGCCAACAAAAAATCACAAATTGACTTTAGCTGGCTCTCCAACCCATCAGTACACACCACCCTAACTCAGTTCACCAGTTTAGGGCTTAATCATGGAGGCACTCTTTCTCTGCCTCTAAAATCAAGCCTTATAAAGGGAAACGTTGGCGGGATGTATCTTGATGGGTTGGAGAGCCAGCTGAAGTCAGTTTGTGAATTTTTGTCAACTGTGGTTCACATCGATGGTGTGTGGTCCAATGGGGGATTTATGGTTACTAGAATATCTGAATGGATATTTGTTGATCTAGAACAATCTTCTCAACCAGGGTTCCATGAGCAATTTCAGCCCCTCACATTAACCACTGACACCAAATATCTTTGTAGCTTTCTGTAATGGGGGATTCTTCCCGCTGACCACAAATGTAAGAAGCATTCTTCCCACTGAATATCATGCTAATATACTGTGAGTAGTATATATAGTAATTATTAGCAAAGGTTCCTTGAGAACGGAAGATGAAATTAAAGTAGAACTAAAGGCAAAACATTTTTTTCCATTTTTGATAGAGTAAAGCCGGCCATACATGGTTAAAAATTTGGCTGGTTCAGCAGGGACCAACTGAATTTTGATCCATGTATGTGCTAGCTGGTTGTACACAAGTGAATCTATCAATCGACTTGTGTACAACCAGCCTGTCACTTTTTCCCCTGAACGATCAGTGCTGGCAACACTGACCATTGTATTCTGTTGGCGGGGATGGCTCTCTGCTGGCAGAATACAATAGTGCACTGGGAGTGATTCCCTCATCCACATTTTTTTTTTTTGATGAACCCACCAGTTGAATGATAAAAAAATGAATCATATATGTCCAGCCTGTCAGGCTGTCAGGTTTCTTTTTGTCGCCTGTGTCCCATTGGGGAGATTCTCCTTTACTTCCTGTCCCATAGCCAAAACAGGAAGTGAGAGGAAATCCCTCTAAAGTGAGGGAAATCCCTGGTTGTCACCAGGGCAGGGGCAGACTGACAGCTCATGGGGCCCCTGGGCAATAGGGGATCATGGGGCCCCTGTGTCCTTGCCCAAACTCAAAGCACACCCAAAAAAACCCTAGAAAAAGGTACCGGGGCATCTCATGGGGCCCCTTACTGACCCCGGGCCTTCGGGCAGTGCCCGAGTGCTCGAATGGTCAGTCTGCCCCTGCACCAGGGTCACCAGAACCCGATTGGAAGTTTTCCCCTATTACTGTTCTGTGGAAATCTAAAATTTGGATTTTCTTTTACTTTCGCTTTTGATGACAACGGTAAACAAAACAAATAGGTTGAATCTGCCTTAAGGGACAGTAATAAAAACGAATCCCTCTCCATTCCTGTTCAAAAAGAATAAAAAAGTTTTGACTTTAGTTATACTTTAGGTGTTCCTCAGATTTAAAAAAAAATTTAGAAAAGCTGATCTAGAACTTTGAAGACTGACCCTTAGTGGGACATATATGTGAACTTTTACAGAAAAGAAGAAATCAGTTAATCACAAAACCATTTAAAGAGACATACATTTGTGGCATTAACTTCAATTCTGTTCTGTTCTTTGGTAAACATCTAAGGTTAAGAAGAAATTGGAGGACATAGATGAATGGGTGTCATGCATAAAAATATCTTTACAAAATAGCATTTTTTCATATACTAAAAAACTTAAAAATGTTAGTCTGATTCTACTGATTCTGATCAGAATTTGGATAATCAAACTTCTTATATATATATGTTGCTACACATAGCCCAATCTTTCTCTAGTCAGCATAAAAGTATAAAAAACCTATAATTGTATGATGCTGGGAGATTTTAAAGAAAATGAAAAAAATGAAATTTCTAATATACGATGAGTAGCCTGCTTTGAATTTTTGTTTTATGTTTTAAAGTTGCACATAATTATTCTGAGGTTTTTTAAGTAAGGTGTGGAGTGATTGCAAGTTTATAATCTTTTTACATATTAGGCTCAATGGTCTTCATAGGTAGTATACACGCGGATGTGGTCCACATACTGAATCAATGTGTGTTAATGTACTGAAATCTTTATTTTTTTTCTATAGCATTAATTATCAAGGTATACTGGTCAGTCATATTTGCACTTTATATGTATATTAATTACATGTATTTATATAGAGCTAACAGTTTATGCAGGACTTTAAATATTCACATCAGTGCCTGTCCTCGCAATACAAGGTCCCTATTTTACATTGATACACATATTATAGCTAATTTGGACAGGAGCCAATAAACCTACCAGCATATGACTTTGGACTGTGGGAGGAAACCAGACTGCCCGAATGTAGCGCATGCAATTATAGGAAGAACATGCAAACTTCATGCAGGTAGTGTTGGGTTGCGTTAGGGTTATTTACAATTTCATTTTCTTTTTAGCAGGTTTTATTAAATCAGTTCCAGTGTGGCCTTTCCAGTAACTGATTTCTGATATGGGGCAAAAATCACACAAGAATCACACCAAAGCAGTACAGGAACCTGCTGAGTCGCATTGATGTGAATGGGCACCATTGAAATCCATGTGATTTCCATTGTCATGCGATTCTATGAGACTCAAGTCACATCAGAAATCACACAGTGTGAACCAGGCATTAGACAGCATTTGACAGGCAGTGAGGAGGCGTTGTATCTCCTCCTCACTGCCTACTTTACCCCTGAACTCTGCACTAGCATGCTGCAACCGCATATTTTACAAATGGTTGCGGGGTGCTTGCAGTGTGAACCCATTAACTTGAATGGGTTGCACTTGGTGGGTGTGACACCCGCTGAAAGCAACAGTGTTATAATTCCTGCTGCAGACACAAAGCAAAGCATTGCAGCCATGGCATGTGTACACCCCTGGCCACTGTAGTTGGAGGGTGGTAAAAGTGCTGCTCAACCATGGGGTTTTACTATCTCTCAGCCACTAGCCCTTATGGTTACACGTATACTTTCACATATACACAGCAGACTACTGTGTATTTCACAATTGTAAAGTCACATCTATTTTATTTTTTTTATCTACTGTTTTTTAATTTTACTTTTTTCAATGTACTCCATGATCTGATAAATAATCCTTAAAATGCTATTTAATTCTGGCAGATAGATGGATAGATAGATAGATAGATAGATAGATAGATAGATAGATAGATAGATAATATTAGAGGTTAA